ACCTCTGTGCAGGTAATTCTCTTAATTCTCCTTTATACCCCACTTCCCTACCAGCTCTCAAATTCTCCTAGGGCAGACAAGATGCTCTAGGGGTACTTTTACTGTCCCCTTTTTTTTTTGACTGGCAGTTTTGCTCTATTGCTCACCTGCTTTGAGGCATGTCAGCCCCTCACTTACAAGACAGCACTTTTACTAGTGTGCTGACTCCAGCTGTTACTGGCTCTTCTCTACTGTGGGGCAGACCCCCTCACAGAGACCACCAATTTTATCTGCTCTGTGCCTCCATGGATTTATATCTCCAGAGGGGGCACCAGGAGGTGAGACAGTGCCCGACAAGTCCGTGAGGTCCAGCTTAGTCTCCTTGAATCAAGGGGCACACGCTACCAAAATTTTCTGGAAGGGAATGTGGTCTGCCTGGTCACTGCTCAAGACCAGGCTGGATGGGGCTCTGAACAACCTGATCTAGCTGTAGGTGTCTTTGTTCATCAAAGGGCAGCTGGACTAGATGGCTTTTAAACGTCTCTACCAAATCAAACAACTCCATGGTTCTATAATTCTATATTTTTTCTTTTAATTAAGGTATTCAAAATACACATTGAGTACAATTTCAAATTACAATTGAATATATGCCTGACTGGATAATTTCTGTGATGATCTCCAAGCATTAAAATGCCTTCTCACATAAGTAATCTTAAATCCTATTAAATCCTCTTTCCTCATCATTCACAGACATTTTAATCTTGTAAATCAGGGTTCAAATTGATAATCAGGTTATTTGCTGTTTGCCCAGAGAATTGGGAATCTCTCCCTCCTGGGAGATACTCAAAAGTGACTTGGACATGTTCCTGTGCAAACTGAACAAGGTGGCCCTCCTTGTGCAGTGGATTTGGACTAGATAGCATTCAGATTTCTCTTCCAACTATAATCCTTCTGTGAATCTGTGATACTGTTATGGTAGTTGTCAGTGTGTGGACTTGGTAACTTGATTTAGTCTCATCTACAATTAAAGAGAATTCAAATAAACAGTTAAGAGTGTCTTGGCTGGCATACAATAACTTTTTAAACTTGAGCAAACTTTTTCCTGAGTCTTTATACTTTTTCCTTTTTTTCTTTTCCTTTTCCTTTTTTCAAATACCTTGAAAGTCTTGTGTAGTTATACACTGCACCTCCTTTATTGGAAGTCTTTGTCTCACCTAAATATTTTCCTTTCTAGTCTCACTGAAACCTGCATGATAATTTATATTCCTAAGATTCAACAAGAGGTTTATAAACCTGATTTCTCAGGGGCCACATCATCTGCTTGGTAGCCTCAAAACTGCCTTTCAGTGACTCCACTGCTCTCTGAATGCCTGCTCCCATGCTGAGTGTTTCATTTTTCTTCCTTTAATGAGGCATCTAGAGGGTTACACAACTATCATAACCACTGCTAGACCTCAAAATACTCAGAATGTGATTCCCAAAATAGACAACTCTTTAAAATCTTGGCAGGAAGGCTGAGTTGCATATGTCTGATCAGCTAATCAGCCTAGGTGCCTGGACAACACCACCAGCCACGCATGACCAGTCTTGGGAGAGATCTTTATGGTAGGCAGGAAGGTATACAGAACAGAAGTTTAAGAACCTAAATTTTAATTTTCTCTTTGGTTTCATATCCAGAACATTTGGTTCATTAGCTGTTATTCTGAGATCTTTTGTGTCAGAAGTGTGTTTTGCAAAATGCCCCTGAAGTCAAAATATTCAGTGCTGATTTTGCCTTATTACTCTGTTTAGAATGTAAACCAAGGAAATGTAGATATCACATCAGATTAGCACAGTCTAAGGTACTATCTGTCAGAAAAAATACTCAACTGTTCACTTATGATCCTCTAGTTCTCAGTAAATACAGTGTAATTAAACATAGCCAGATTGAAAAATGAAGTGTAAGTAGAAATCTCCACTTAATTTTGGCCAAAAGGCACATCTGGGTACTTTTAACATGGATCAGCTAATACAAAGTAATTAAAATGTAAGAACTTGGTTGTATGAAAACCCCAAGCATGCCTCCTTTATGTCTCAGAAATATCCTGGAACAATGATGTACGTCAATATCTCTGTACTACTATTCTTCCTTAATAATTCCATAATCAGAGCATGATTTCTTCATCTGTTCAGTACTAATCTTATCACACTTATTCTCCTTCATATCTACAGTATGTGAATCAAATTCTCCTCCTATTGTGAAACATATCAGAACATATGCCTTTCTGATTAACAACATCAGACTTTGTGTATTATATTTCTACAGTTGGACATCCTCAATTGTGAGGATGTAAGGGAATTGAGTTAGAGACGTCCTGCAAAACCCTGTGAAGATTAATGTGCACTGCTGAATCTCTGACTACAGGAGATCCCACTGGACAATGGGATGACAAAAGAAAGATATTTTGTTATCTGTGGCCGTGATATTATGTCCTAGTCTCACCACACTAAGAAGCAGTCATTCAGCTCCAAGAGCTGATGAAGACTGCAGAGATGATGAAGATAGAATAGCAAAATGTTAAAAAAAAAAAATTATTTGATCAGAATGATGCATCCAAAACTTCCTCCTAAGACAGACTGTAGTTTGGAGATTACATTATTTAGCCTCATCAGAATAACATCTTGAAGATTAGTGACACCCTGCATGAATCTGAATGCCAGCTGTTTTTAATACATTTGAACTCCACCAGCTTTTCTGTAGAAATCTCCGTATAGTTGCTGACAAAAGCTGTACAATACATTTCTGCTGTAATTCCTGATATGCTTCATAGTCACACATGGAGATGGATTAAAAACTAGTAAACACAATGTGTACATGTGTTACTTCTCTCAGATATGAGACTGTCCGCTCCTTGTTTTCCTGTGTTTGAAAAATTGAGTTGTTTACTGACATAGTTTGCTGAATATGTTGGTTTGAGTCTTATTTTCATATCTAGAGAATGCAGAAATGGTCCCATCTCAAAGTTTGTTTCATACTAAAAGCAATATTTTCTTAGTAAATGAAGGACATTATGCGCAGCCTGCTTCAGGGAGCCAGCCTGCTTTGAAGAGGGGTCAGACTCCATGATCTCTAGAGATCCCTTCCAAATTCTGCAATTGTGATATATTGGGAAGATAACAAATTCAAAAAGTAATGGTCTGTTACACAATAGACTGTGTAAGACTGTGTCAAATTTGGGGTCCATTCCTGCTGGATTTCACCATTATATGTTGCAACAGGGGTGTATTAGCTTGATTTTAAGTGGAATTTCGGTATCATGGCATCAGCTAAATTTTTATGCTAAAAAAAGCTTTGCAGAAGTAGGAGAAAGAAAAGGATAAGAGGATATTTCCACAAAAGAACAAAAAATTACATTATTTATGAGGTAACACACGGGGCAAAAAAAGAAAAAAGAAGCCTTGAATGCAATAGAGTCTCTATCACACTACCAAGCTATCAGAAAGCTGTTTTATTTTTTCTTTAATTATTTCTGTAATACTTTTCAGTCTCCTGCAAAAAGGAAGAAAAGCAGTTCTACCTACCCTTAGAAAAGCTGTTTAGCTAGCACACTGTGGAAATGTCTTCCTCAGCTAGTTACTGCCATTTTATATCACTGCAGCATATGGGATCAAAGACTAGATCTGCCACCTCCTGTTTATAGTGGGCTAGAGCAGCCACAGAAGTGTCAGGGCTGTTTTCTGCATCATGTGATTGGGAATAAGACATGCAGTGTTAGATTGCTACCAACAGGATGATTTATTCCTATTTTTGCATTTGACCTACAGTGTCATGCACCTAGAGCTAAAATTTTGAACCCCAAACAGAAAGTGTCTTTTTGTATCTTTTCAAATACTACTGATTGGACAAGAAATATCAGTCACAAAGATGCAAACAATAGTGTTATTTCAGAGGAATTCTAAAAGCTAAGTCATAGACAGGAAAAAAGTTAGAAATGAAATTTTAAATGTATTATTCCAAATAATTTGCTCTGAAAGTAAAGCTTCCTATTATTTCTATAAATAATTTCTAGAATAGATACAAAGAGCACAACAACACTATTTGATTGAACACATTCTCAACTACGAAACGCTATTTTGCAACATAATTGCCATCATTATCTATGTATTTTCACCAGCAATTAACTAAATCCTGCAATCCTTACTTGTAAAACTCTGCACCAGTAGAAGTAACCCACTGTCACCCTCACCTTAGCTGAAATATACCACACACCACCTTACTTGCTTACCTGTGTTATTTTGTCTCCATAAACATTCAGCAAGTGTCCATGAATGTCAATGGGCGTAATATTTCCAGCATGGAGGAATTCAATGCCACACATTTGCGTCATACAAAATTCTAAGTCACACACCATTTCATCAGACTGCCCCACTGCTGCCATCTGTTTCATGGCAACAAAATGTAATAGAATATTCAAGGAAAGATTTGACTTCTACCGATGTATCAACTACATAATAAAATAAAAGGCATCACTTCCAGAGCAGCCCTCATAGATTTATGATGTTACAAGAAGACAAAACTGCAGTTAACCTGCACAAGGATTATATCCCAAGGCTTGAGCTTAGAAAGTATACTTTTATAACTCTGTTGGTACAAATCTGTATAAGCAGTGAGTAGTTTTCATTTTACACTGATAATACAGAGTTTAACAATATCAGCTGACTGATATAAGTAATTCCTTTTAAAATTGATAATTCCCTTTGAAAATGAAGTTTAAAAATGCTTAAACAGAAGGTATAAAATCAGAGTTTTATTTAAGATAATCAGCATTTGGTAGTCCAAAGTTGATCTTACGCTTCTTGTTTACCTTTCCATCTTTGTTCAGGTTTTTCTTACTATATTCACCAAACATAGAGGTATCAGATTGCAATTTTCTCACTATGTGTGTGTATAATCAACAAATATTAAGATGGTATAATTACAAATTAAACAAAAGAGTTGGGTAAAGCAGATTATGATAACAAAAAGAGGATAGAAAGCTTACCCATATCCTGGGCTCACTTACAAAACTCCAGCAGAGCAGATCTCCAGAAGAGACCCTTCTCCACTGGTAGGCAGCTCTTAAATTGGTCTAGGAGGGGTGGCTCCACCCCTTTGGGCAGCACGGGTGAATTGCCTTCACCTGTGCTCCTCTGGCTGACTTATTGCTCACCTCAGGTCATCAATCAGAGTCAGGCCGTGACTCAGCAGTTCCCATACAGTTCAGTACAAATTTTAATTTTCCCTTCATACTCTATGCCTGTTATTCAAGAACTTCATCAGGACAATGGACACAAACCTTACAAGACAGCTTTCCAAAAAGAATAGTAAAAGAATGGAAAGTAACTTGGGTATATTTCATGTTCTGGTAGCAACAACAAAGATGAGAGACATGTAACTTTCATCCATGTTCCTCTGAATCTACTTTAAACAGTGCTATCACCATTCCTGCATGTGTCCTGTGCGAGAGTTAGAAATTACCTCATTACCTGCACTCAGTCTTTCTAGTTGTCTGTCTAGGGGATGTGCTCTGTCATAAGCAGAAGGACAAAGCTGTCCCTCTGTTTTCTTTCTTACAGTGGCCTGGGAGGTAGGCTAAAATAAGAGGACAAGATGCACATGACATCATAGCTCTGAAGATATTGTGACCTACATCACTTGAAAATATTCAAATCTTTTGGTGTTTTCTGGTTTCATATTGAAAGGTTGGTTTGCATGCTGATGCATCAGTTTGTGCACTGAAGAACGATGTAAGAACTTATGCGTGGAGACTTCAAAGGATTATGTGGACTGTGTAAGTGCCTCTTATTTCCTTCATGGTCTTCTACATCCAACTAGGACTGATTATATTTTTAGTTTTGGAAGTTTCTGATTCAGCTGTGAAGCTGATTGTGCACCCATTTCTGCCCCAGGACTTGCATGTTGCCTGCATAATTACTTACAGGTTTCAATTTTGATAAGACTTTTTCTTTATAACTCAAAATGCAGCTTACAAATAAAGGAATGTAAACTATTAGGTACATTATTCAGTTTTGTATATTAAAAACTGTGTATATTATTTTCAATGCACTAATCTAGTTTTTAGAAATAATATACAATTGTAAATGCACTGGAAGTTTTTCCTTCTGAAAAATGAGATTCTGATCCACAAAAATAGAACAACTTGTGCTGTTCTTAGCTATTAAAATTCCCAATTAATTCTTACTGAGGCTAAAATTAATATAGAATCTTAAAAACTATTCCAGATCAAAAGTTGAATTTGAATCTCTTTTTTTTTTTTTGTGCCTTAATTAAAAAAAAAAAAAAAAGAGAGTAAAAGAGCATTTATTATGCTTTAAACATTTTTTTTCTATCCACATTGAGTGATAATCAAGTTACTGAAAACTCTTCAATTCTCACTCTGAGCTCCTCTATTAAAAAAAAGAAAATGTATTTCACATTTTAGGTCTGTTAATGCAATCAAGAAATTATGTCAGTAGAGAAATGCAATCAAGAAATTATTATCAGTAGAGAAAAATTCAAGAAATTTTGGTAATTTGACAGTTTAGAACATGAACGGGACTCTGAAATGCATCTCACACTGAAGTCCTGAAACACTCAGTCCCATTCAGACAAAATATCATAACCAAATGGAGTGATTATTATAACTACAATGCAGTTATAACTGTGTTTTCTAATTATTTTTTCTCATGGACACTGAGGCTCACATATCTGTGTGTTAACATTCAGGCAGCATTTCTTAACCTTCTTCTTCAAACACTGGTATTCTTGTCAGTGTTTAGTCAAAGGGGAAGACAAGATGAACCATTTACTTCCACTCTATTTACCAAAAGTTGTTCTTAAGTCAGTGGCTCATAGAATAATTTCTTCAAATCTTCCATTACACCTACTTCAAACAATGATCTTGTAGCTTTCTAGGTACTATTTCTTCCTTTACATATTGATTCTAAATATCTCCATCTAGTTCTTCTCTTGGTGTAACTCTGCTTAAAAGAATACTGTAGTGAAAGCAAAACACTCTGGGGATTATAGGAGCACTCCAGAGTAGATCCCTCTGCATCATTTGGAAGAATTATTTATCTTGGTAGTGATTCTTCTTTTATTAAATTTTGAGAGCATTTGTCATGAAAATGAAAAGCATTTGTTTCTGAGGAAAAACAAGTGTGCGTTTTTGCCACGTAGTGGATAGGTGATTACATTGCTCTTTAGTTTTCTCCTACAGCTGTAATCTGAAAACCACATTTTAATAATGCTAAAATAAACTCTCCTTGAAAAAAAAAGAATTTTTGTTGCACAAAAAACATTATTATTTATGAAAAGAATACTTTTATCGTAGAATTATATAGCCATTGTATTACAAGCAAAAATATTTCTATATTTTGTGAGGTTTTTAAAATTTTTTTGCTTGTTAGGCTACAATCAGACATTTAGCTGACTAAGTTGTCACTAAGATGGAAGGTATGTGTAAATTTCTGTCATTTCTTTATACTTGTGGAAAGTAACTCCTTCATAGAATCATAGAATCATAGAATGACAATGTTGGAAACGACCTGCGAGATCATCTAGTCCAACCATTACCATTGCTACCACAAGCAGTAAACCATATCTCGTAGCTCGTCATCCAGATGCCTCTTGAACACTGCCAGGGATGGTGACTCCATCACCTCCCTGGGCAGCCATTCCAGTGCCTGACCACTTTCTGAGAGAAAAAGTTTTTCCTCATGTCCAAGCTAAACCTCCTCTGGTACAACTTGCGACCATTTCCTCGGGTCCTGCTATTTGCCTGGGAGAAGAGGCCAAACCCCTCCTCACACAACCTCCCTTCAGGAAGTTGTACAGTGCAATGAGGTCCCCCCTGAGCCTCCTGTTCTCCAGACTAAACAATACCAGCTCCCTCAGCTGCTCCTCATATGACCTGTGCTACAGAACCTCACCAGTTTCATTGCCCTTCTCTGGACATGCTCCAGGGCCTCAATGTAGTGAGGGGAATCTATCAGTCCACCTGGTTATGTATGGAATTTATGCACCTAGCTACTCACCTTCACATCTAATACAACTAGAGAAAAAAAAAAAAGAAAAAATAATTAATGGGTGGGTTATTTTCCCCATACATAAATATGAATAGAGAAGTTAGGCATTTCTTTACTGTTTCCCCTGTGATTTGGATTTATCTTCTCCTCTCATAGAACCGAGTTGTGGGGATGATAACTTTAATATCCATTTGTTTGTTTGTTTGTTTGTTTGTTTGTTTGTTTATGAGCCACAGAGGGTGGGGGTTAAGCTTTGACCCTGTTTTCAAAGGCTCTTCTCAACAAACAAGGGCAGGAGCTGAGCTCCTGAGGGACCTTGGATTCTTACTTGTATTACCAATGTGTAATGCCTTGAAGCTGCATCTAACTCTGCTGCATTTAATATGTTTATGTGGTTCTGGTTTTAGTATCTTGCTTAAAACTTGGTAGCTACCATAAAGCAACTCTCCCATCACTGTATATTTTCACATTTTTACTATTTTTTCAACACTCCTCTTTATTATCAGAGTAATAAATGCCCCTCTGTAGGCTTTTCTCTGACATTTTATGCTTCTGATTTCACCAGTAAAATCTGCTGCAGCAACACTATATGTTTCAAGCAGTTAAATAAACTGGATGATCATATTAAATATATGTTTCACAGTGCTTAATAGGAAGATATTTGTTTTAGACAAAATATAAATGATTGACCAGTTATGTGGTTTCTGTTCTGGGAGGGGATTTTTGTTTGTTTGTTTCTGTTTTCTTTTATTAATTTTGTTTTTTATTCGTTAAAAGGCAAGCAAGAAAGAAGAACTGTTCATTCCTTCACCCTCAGCTAGATGTGGAATGAAGTAGCCTAGGTAAATTTACTCTTAACAGAACATAATTATGATTATAATTATACATAGCTTTATTTAAGATTACTCCTGTTCATTCTTGATGTTTTTTTTATAGATTTGCAGTCTCATTAGCTTTTCCTCTTCTCATTTTTTTTTTCCCATGCAATAAAGTGATGATCAGGTTCAGTGTCTAATGAGGCAGCCATTCTGAACACGTCGAGACAAAGAAGTGGTTTCCCTAGCAACGAGAACCATGCCAAAGCTCTCAGAACAGTAATTTCCCAGCATTTTAGTACCTTTTCTGTTAAGGATTCCTATTTGTTTGAGTTCATAGGCAGTGCCTGGCAAGACTCAGAGTTTGCAACTCCTTAGTATATATAATAAAATACAGCTAACACTATGTTTTATGATTAAAATAAAAAGTGGGGAGCTGGTATATTTTGTCATTTTTATATGTTGATTTATAGAAGCTTAAAACAATGGCTTCTACAAGATACATCTGCCTGAGGTTTTTAAATATACTACCTGTATCTCTTCAGAACGCAATAGATCCCATTTGTTGGAGCTTACTCAATTCTGAGCCATATTCATGCTGTATATAGACACCTAAACCTAGATTTTTGTTTTGGAATATACATGAATTTCATTACATATAGGTATGACTAAAGATTTAAAATCATATAGAATATAACTTGAATTTAAATCTCTATGTAATTGTAGAAAAAGATTACTGCAATAAAGTGTTGAAATATTAGACAATTTTAGCCAATTTTTATTATGTGAAAATGAGAAAGTTATTACAACACTAATTACCTAAAATATTTTTGCTTTCTAGGAACAATTTGAGATCTATGAACTTTCTATAAGTTCATATCTATTCTGATAAAACTTTTAACGTCAGGTAAAAAATTGAGTTCTTCTACATCCTTACATTTTCCTGAAAGGTCAGAGCAGGCTGATACATCATCCATGTTGACCTGTGTTAAGCTTGGTCAGCATCCTGAAGTTATTCATAGAACTGTCTAACACAGCTAATAACTGATCTGAGAAATGTTCTCAAAGTGCATCTATTCAAATACATTAAACACATATTTACAATTTCCACTTTAGGACACAAGCATTATTCTCATGTCCAAGGCACTCGCTGCAGATTGCAACAAGCTTATATTTCATTGCATCTTTTTCAAGAGAGGATTCAAAT